ATAGTTCGGTTGCACGGTGTGCTTGTTTCTATCATATCAGCTAGAGGCCCTCAGTTCACTTCCCATTTTTGGAGAGCTGTAAAGAGTAAGTTGGGGACCCACGTAAAGCTCAGCACAACATTTCACCCACATACCGACGGGCAGTCCGAGCAGACAATTCAGATTCTATAGGACATGCTCAAAGCATGTGTGATTGACTTTGGAGGGCAATGGGATCTGTTCTTGCCTTTGGCCGAGTTTGCTTACAACAACAGTTATAAGTCCAGCATCGAGATGGCTCCATTTGAGGCTTTATACGGTCGATGATGTCGTTCTCCTATCAAGTGGTTTGAGCCCGGTGAGGCTAAGTTGTATGGTACAGATTTGGTGAAAGATGCCTTGGAGAAGGTAAAGTTGATGCAGGAGAGACTTCGTACAGCGCAGTCCAGACAGAAGAGTTATGCATATCAGAAGGCGCAGGATGTATCATTCATGGTCGGCGAGAAAGTTCTCTTGAAAGTCTCACCGATTAAGGGCATTATGAGATTCGAGAAGAAGGTCAAGTTGAGCCCCAGGTTTATAGGCCCATTTGAGGTGTTGAGGCAAGTTGGGGAGGTTACTTATGAGCTTGATTTACCTCCTAGCTTATCGGGAGTTCATCCAGTTTTTCATGTGTCTATGCTTCGGAGGTATCACACCGACTCGTCCCATGTGTTAGACTTCAGTACTATTCAACTAGATGAGAGTTTGGGTTATGAGGAGGAGCCAGTTGCTATTGTTGATAGACATGATCGCCAGTTGAGATCCAAGAGGATTTCTGCGGTAAAGGTCCAGTGGAGGGGCCAACCAATCGAGGAGGCGACCTAGGAGTCCGAGGAGGACATGTGGAGCAGATATCCACGCTTATTTGTCACTTCAGGTATGAATCAAAACTCGTTCGAGGACGAACGTTTGTTTAAGAGGTAGAGAATGTAACGATTCGACTGGTCGTTTTACTTTCTAGAACCTTGTTCCCCTATATAAGACTTCCCATACTTGCTCTTACTGATTTGTGACTTGCGGGGATGATTAGTTTAGGATTTGGAAGAGTTTGGGTTGAAATCGAAACACTTAGTTCCCTAAGGTTGGCTTAAAAGGCCAAGTTTGACTTCGGTCAATGTTTTGAGTAAACGACCTCGGAATCTGGATTTAAAGGTTCCAACAGGTCCGTATGATGATTTCGAACTTGGGCGTATATCCAGATCGGGTTCTAGATGACACAGGAACGTTTTGGCGCCTAATAGTAAAATTTGATTCCTTAAGGATTTTGAAGTTCTTAAATATTTGGTCTGGAGCAGGTTTTGTGTTATCGAGGTTCGAACAGAATTCCAAGTCCGAAAATAGTTTTGTATTGTCATTTAAGACTTGTACGCAAGTTTGGTGCCAATCCGAGTAGTATAAGTGTGGTTCGTTGCATTGGATGTGAAATGAAGAACTTGAAGTTCATAAGTTCGATTCAATTGGTCTTAGAGGGGTGATTCTTAGATTTAGCGTTGTTTCGGGCGTTCTGAGTGCTTGAGCGAGTCCATTTTATGATTTCAAACTTGTCGGTATGTTCCGACGGGGCCCTAGGGGCCCCGAGCGTCGATCGGATGAGGCTCGAGTTGAGTTAGGAAATTTTGGAAGGAGAAGAAGCTCTAGGTTATTGCCATAACTGCACCTGTGGTTGGCCAACCGCAGGTGCGAGACCGCAGAAACGGTCGATCCATCGCAGATGCGGCCAAGGGTGGCCAACCTAGGAGCCGCAGAAATGGCCTACCTTCCGCATAAGCGGCCCAGCCGGCTAGTGGAATTTCCATAGAAGTGACTTCTTTTTTGCAGATGCGGTGGGCGCAGGTGCGGCCCAGGACCACAGATGCAGAATTCACAGAAGGCAGTGGCCTTCATTTATTGCGGGTGTTAGTCATTTTTGGCTCATTTCCACTCAAAAGTTGGGCGATTTTGGAGTTCTTGAGAGAGGATTTTCACCAAGCTCTTAGAGGTAAGTAATTCCTACTATATGTAAGTTAAATACTTGGATTTTGGGTAGATTAACATGTAAAGATCGGTAAAAATCATGGGATTTGAGTAAAACCTAAGGTTTTGATAAAAACAAGATTTTACCACGAAATTTATTATGGAATGAAGTAAAAATCATATATTTTTTATCCTTACGTTATGGGTAACAACTTCCCTCAGTAATTTTCGGAATCCGGGCATGTGGGCCAGAGGATGGATTTTAGGAAACTTGTATTTAGGGTTGAAAAATTACTTTAATAGTTAGAATATGAACTCTTGAGCTTGTATTGACTAGTTCTTACCCCGTTTGAATAGTTTTGGATCGTTCGGCTCCGAATTGAGGGTTTGAGCGCGTTTTTGAAATTGGGAGTAAGCTTTGGACCAAGGTGAGTCTCCTTTCTAACCTCGTAAGAGGGAAATAACCCCCTATGCGAATTAAATAATTGTATGTGACTATTTG